GGTGCAGCTCACTGGTGCACAAACCCACCTTCTCCAGCTGCTTCTGGGGTACAGCACAGCAGCCCCCTTAACCTTCCATACAAGTGGACCCTGCGATGAGTGGAAACTGGGCAAAACCCAGACATGTTGGATTTACCCTCAATTTGCACCTTAGGGCTGGATTTGAGGTTGGAGGAGCTGAATACCCCCTCCCTCCACTGCAGTGGGACATCTCTGGAGACTCAGGTCCTGATCATCAGGATTTGGGTCCACCAGTATCACCCAGCTTCAGAGCACTTACCCCATTGCCTCCAGACCCACCACAACCAGCTGCAGCCCACCCCAAAACAGAGGAAGAAAAAGCAAATCTTACTCCACCACACATTTCTCATTCATGATGTTGGCCTTGAAGCCCAGCACAGCAAACACAACCAGGGTGGCCAGGACCGAGGTGAAGAAGTTGATGAAGGAGACCAGCGTGGCATCAAAGTGGCAGTTGTTGTCCTGCTTGTTGTAGCTGGAGAAGGCGATGACCCCTCCAAAGCCCAGCCCCAAGGCGAAGAAAACCTGCGTCGCTGCCTCCCGCCACACCTGGGGGTCCAGCATCTTGTCCAGCTTGGAGCGGGGGGACACAAGAGGACGTTAGGTGGTTTGGTGGCCCCACAACTCATCCCGGTGGAGCCAGAGCCAAATTAAAAGGTTGTGTTCCTAAACATGGGCTGGTTTGGAGCAGCCATGGGCATGTTTGGATCCACCACCATCAGGTCTTGCATTACCAAGCACTCCTAGGTCGTCCTTCTTTTTTCCCATAGAGGGGAAAACTGAGGCACGGAGAAGATCAGGTGTAGATCTGGCCTGGCCATGTCTCTGGGTGCTTCATCTGCCCCACAGCACAAGCTGGGTGCCCAATTTTCCAGTTTAAAGCCCTACAGCTTCCCAGTGGACCATCCAGCTGCCCTTGAGACCTGATATCCCTGTCCCCTCACTCATGAGCTGCCCAGTGACAGGTCCCCATCCTTCTCTGACCATCTCCTGTCCTTGGAGAGCCCCAAGCACTTGAAATCAAAGCTCTCGGCTGGGGGGTTTGTTTAGCCTCCCATCCCCCAGCCACATCCCCCCTCTCCTGCAAGCCAGGAGGCCTCTGAGCCTCACTCATCAAGAGATCATAATTAATATCTTCTAACAGCCTCGTCAACCGAGCTGATTCATCTACATCTTTGCTTGATTAATTAATTAGCTGCTTAATTAATGGATGCGTACCACCAGCAGAGGTTTTGCTGACAGCCAGCATCCTCCCATGAAGATTTTAAATGTTTCACTCCCAGGTCCCCATCCTGGTGTCTGGGCACCCAAAAGTGACAGGAGGGGGCTCAAAGCAGCTACAGGGTGGTGAGTCCTGGCCATGCCCCATATTTCAGGCACATCCTGGTGATATATCAGGATCTCTGAGGTAGTTTGAGGTTGGTACTCTGTGTTTTGGGGTGGGAAGGGAAAACAGGGTCTGACAAGCTGGGAGGAGGAGTCTGCTGGGCTTGGAGACCTTACCTTGGGCGTGAACATGTGCATGATCCCATCCACCGCCCCGCGCAGCAGGAGACCCCGCACCAAGAAGCAAACCAGCACCACGTAAGGGAAGAGCGAGCTGAAGTACATCACCTACGGCGAGAGGGATGCAACACGGGCACCGCCTCATCTACTGCCCGCTGAGCTCAGCCACCCCATATCCACCCCACAGACAGCTGATGAGTCTGGTCACCCTCCCCAGAATGAGCTCTGCTCCTCAGGTGGCGCAAGATGCTACAAGTGCTGAAGCTCCGGTGGTTTTGCAAAGTGCTTGGACACACTTAAGAGAGCAAATCTGCTGGGGCTGCTGCTGAATGTGAAGATGCTGGGGATGGTTCAGAAAACCCCTGAAAAACCCCACAGGCAGTCCCCACTGGTTCCCTGCACAGGGCACATTTCCAGTGCCCCATTGAGTAGATGTGGATGGGGCTTCATCCCAGACAGAGGAGACCTCCTGCCATGGTCCTGCTCCTTCAGCTCATTCCCACCCCCTGCTTTTGGGGCTGGGGACTCATTGCCCTCTGCTAACGCGCCAGATGTTTTGCAGAGCACATCTGGAGACAGGGACAGTCAAGTGTCCCAGGAGACCACACTCTTCTGCATCTGACCCCTGGGCCATTGCTGCAGGTATCAGCACTAAACCTCTTCCCTGCATCCCCTCCTGATCCCCTCGGAGATGGCTCTAGCGCTGAAAAAGCTGTGAGCATCCCAAGGGACACTGCATCCCTCAGCCACCCCAGATCAGGGCAGGGGAGCGTGGTCCAGGCAGGAGGTTTCTGCCCCAAGGGCAGACCCCAGCCAGGCGTAGGTGGCCACAGATACCCACCTTCCCCGAGGACTGGATGCCTTTGATCATGGCCAAGCCAACGAGGCTCCAGGCCACCAGCAGACACAGTGTCATCTTCCAGTTGAGGCCTCCGCTCTCCGAGATGGAGTTGGAGATGTCCAAGGTCTCCCGGTACCAGAAGTAGGTGGTGGCTGAGCTCCTCTCGCATTCGGTCTCCACGACTGCAATCGAGCAGAGGCAGGAGAGCGTGAGGGGGTTTGGGGAGTCACCCACCCTCTTTCAGGGGTAAACATCAACTAATAGCAAGGACTCGCTGAAGCAGGCACCCCTGGGAACTAAGGAACAGGAATTAATGAGGCTCATATCTAGCCAAAAAAAGGAGATGGGACATAAAGCCATTGTCAGGTGAAAATAAGATGTTAAATACAGGGAGAGACATTTGTGTTTGCTGTAAAACCTCCCAGAGGGTCCCTAAGAGATGTTCAGATGCCATTAAACACCATTAGCTCGATCAACACCTCAGTTGAGCACTGATGGAGCAGCTTAGGGAGCCCTGCCTGGCCCTTGCTGCCTCACTCCATGGTCCCAGGTCAGATCCTGGCCCCGAGCACCAATGCAGCCCGGAGACCCCAGCTCTGGATCCCCAAACGGGCAACAAACCCCATCGGTGGAGACAGACCCTGAGGGGACAGCATGGGTGAGACTCATCCAACCCAAGGGACACATCTCCGTCTGACCAAGGCAGCTTGGCTGGAGAGGACCCAGTGCCTCAGGAGACACCTCCAGTGTCCTCAACCTGCGATAGCTGCAGGGGATGGGGGTCCCCAGTGTCCCACAGCCCCCTTTGCCCAGGAAATGCTCCCTCGTCCCTTACCGGCCACCGAGCCGTTCTTCACGATGGGGCACTCACTCCAGGGAAGGGGGTACTGGAAGGACTTAAAGAAGTAGAAGATGCTCCAGCCGATGATGACGTTGTAATAGAGACCGACGAAAAAGCAGACCTGGGAGTGGGTGAGGAAGGAGGACACGGTGTTAAATCGCAGGGTGCTGACACTGTCCCTAACACCTCCCACTGGGCAGGGACCTGGTGGCTGCAGGGATGCTGGGATGGGGGCACAGCCCCATTCCCAAACCAGCCCCAGAGCTGGAAAAACTCCCTTTGACCTCCCAAACCTCCACGTGGGGTCCCTCAAAGTTTGCTTCCAGGCCACCTCCTCACTTTGCAGCTTGCAAAGACCCCCCAGGGGCACCCATGGGTGCACTCACGAGGCAGCTGGCGTAGCCGATGCCCCCCAGGCGAGGGCAGATGTAATTCCAGACACCGATGCTGCCCCGGCGGATGCGCTGTCCCACCGCCAGCTCCAGGAAGAAGAGGGGAAGCCCGATGATGATGAGCAGGACCAGGTACGGGACCAGGTAGGCACCTGGCAGGGGAGAAAAAGCTCAGTGTGGACCCATCTCTGCAGCTGAGGATGGACAGACAGGGACAGATTGGGACAGACAGGGGTGGCAGAGCTGGGATGGGATCTGCCTGATCCTTTGGTTTGTTTGGAGCTGGGAATGCAGAGAAGACAGCGATGGAGAGGAGGACGCACATGTGTGTGGAAGGGAAGGGTGCAACATCTCCTGCCAGCACAGGTACGAGCAGGACAGACCCCAGCGCACCTGAAGACACACAGCACCCGTATGCACACATCACCCCACACAAGGGGACATCTCCATAAGCCACCCCATGGGGACACAGATGTGATCCCGGCCACCTCGGACACAAGGACAAGGAGGAGCCCTCCTCTTCCCCCAGGTCCTGCTTGCTCATGCCTGTCTGAGGCCCCAGCGGCAGCATTCACCACCCAAGGTCCTCTGGTCAGGACACAGAAACACCTCAACTTAGAAACTCCATTAATCTCTGCCTAATTAGAGGAGGCCAGGAGAGAAATCAGAAGCTCCTGAAGCAGAACCAAACAACCGTAAAGGATGCGATGACTCAGGCTGCAGCTGATGAATTACCCTGACCTCCTGCCAAGGGCTGAGAAACAGGCTCAGGACCACACAGCTGCATCCCACGGGGCACAGGGGATCAGAAGCAACCAGAGCCTGGTTGCTTTGGGCTGGATTTGTGCCCCGGTAACAGCCACCACCCCCAGCAGGACCCAATGCAGCAAAGAGGGGTCAGCAATAGCATCCCGAGTTGAGCACCCCAGCAGCACATTGGGGGTTGATGGGTTAGAAGGTGGGGAGAGAAATTAAGGTGCGGGGTGATCAGGAGGATGGAGGGGAGGCAGAAAGCAGGGCAGAGCTGGAGCCTGGCGTAATTCGGGAAGGACCATGAGCATCCCAGCTCCTGGGCACCCACATCCCAACCTGCCAACGGACAGGGATGAGACAGATGGATAAATTCAGATGTTAATTTGTCCAGTATTGGTGATTTTCTTCCAGTGATCGCTGGAAAGCTGGGCACCAGTGAACAGCCCTCATCACCAGTGTGGATGTGGGGCAGGCAGCGCTGCCAGCTCCCGGCACACTGAGTCCTGGAAATCTGGCTCCAGCCCATCTCGCTACCAGCAAGCGGCTGTTCTCCCCCACGGATGCAAAGAGGGGATTGATATGGAGCACAGGAAAGCTCAGCAATCTGCTGCTGAAGCTGGGTGCCTCAGTTTCCCCATCTGTAAAATAAGGGGTAATGGCTGGGAGAGCCTGAGAAGCAACTTGCTCCTAAAACCAGCTGCTTGTCCTGGTGCCTGGTGGCTCTGTGCCCCTGTGTCCCACTGCAGGATGCAGCCAAGCCACCGGGTTCAACCCCAGCACATCCATCTCCTCCACTGCAGTGGGCATCAGGGCTGTTGCAGGTTGAATTCCCCATCCTTGCATTGCTAATGCTCCCCCTACACTGACAGCAAATTCAACCCTGGGGACCAACACAGCAAGATGGGTCCCACATGTTCCTCCTGCTGCCACCCAGCACCCAGAACCACTGAGCTACACCCCCACAGACACCCGGGACAGCAGAGACCTCAGCATGAGCTGAGAAATTTCCATTCATCACACTGATTACGGTTAGCAACTGCTGTGCCAGTGGGGAAACTGAGGCACGGCTGGGTTAAGTGCTTACAGAGAAGTAGGACTTCAGAGCTCTCTGAGTCTGAGCTGGTTCCCAACCTCATTTAGTTGGGAAAACCTGCTTGGAAACCAGAGAACGGCTGCAGGGAGCTGTGTAATGAAGCCAGCAGGGCCATATTGATCTATCCCAACCCTGGATTTACCCCAGGCTCTGCCTCCGACCTCCTTGGGGCTGTGCATACAACCCCCCCTACTGCACCCCATACACCACGTCCCAAAACCGAGCTTCACCCTGACCCAAACTGGGACGCTGGGATCTTAAATGTACCAGGGGCTGAGGAGATGCTGGGATGCAGGAGCCATGCTCCATCCCAGACGGGAAGGGAGGGCGATGGGGGTGCAAGCAGCCCCCGGGGTGGGAAGTGCTGACTGCACACGTCTTGGTTTGGGAGAATGAGTCATCGGGAAGATGACACCGGAGATGTTTTAATTATTGAGAGCGTTGCAGGTTTGCTGGGGCCAGGGGAACGCTGGGTGATGCAGCACCAGGAACAGGGCGAGGGCAAGGGGAGAGGAGACCTGCATGGAGGGGTCTCAAGGGCTGGGATTAACGGTGAGCAACTGGACCTCTCATCAGTGTGGTGAAGTGTCGGGTCTCAGCATGGCCAGAAGAGACCTGGCTCTGGGAGCACAAGGAGGGGGTATGCGGTGGGATGGGAGGACGGGCTAGCTGGAAGGAGGATTGGGGAAGGGGCTGGAGCTGCACAACACAGCATCAGGACCTAAGGAAGGGGACTCTCTCATTTTTTCACCACTTAGTCTACAAATTGCCCCAACAGGAATTGGGGGCTACAGCGAGAAATCCTGGCTCCCGGTCAATCTCTCCTTGATTTTGGAGTGGGCAGGTGGACAACATTTGGGCAGAGGAACGTGAAGGATCCCACATCTCTGCAGCTCCTGGCCACTCCTTTCCTCCTCCAGAGCCCAAATAAGCCCTGGGATCCCCACCCCAACATGCAGCTGGGTGGGATTGGGCCATAACCCCTACCCCAAGGGCTGAACCTGTCCCTGCCCCAGGGACCGAACCCATCCCTGCCCCACGGACCGAACCCATCCCTCACCTCCTCCATTCTTCTGGCAGAGGTAGGGGAAGCGCCAGACGTTGCCCAGCCCCACCGAGTACCCGATCTGCGCCAGGATGTACTGCAGCTTGCTGTTCCACGCCGGCCGGTTCTCCGCATCCAGATCCTCCTCCCCATCCTTCTGCTTGTCCCAGGTCTCTCCCGTCACATTGAGGACGCTGCGTTTGTAGTCCACGGGCTCTTCGTGGGCCAGCAAGTCGGCCACCGACTCGGTGACATGCTCGCTGCTGTGCTCCCGCTGCGTCACTTTGCTGTTCTTCGGCATCGGGACGGCTCCGCGCGGCCCCGGAGGGGTCAGAATGGGGCGAGGGGAGGAGATGAGGTCCCACAGGGAACAGCACCCGTGTGTGCTACAGCTCTGGCCTCACCTCCTCTTCATCAGCAGGACCTGGGCAGAGAAGGGGTCGAGAGAGGATGAGTTGGAGTTGCCTTACCCCAGGGATGTCCTGGTGGGACCGGCAGCACCAGAGGGAGAAGGGTCTTTGTCACCCAGCGCTTGGGGACCTCACTCTGTGCTGGGGGATACCAAGGGCCCCTTTCTCCATGAGAAATGGACCAGGAGCATCTGCATTCATCCCAGACTGGGAAGGGGCCTCTGGAGATCCCCCAGTTCAACCCCTGTCAGAGCAGGGGCACAGGAACACGGCCAAGGGTTTGGGTGTCTCCAGAGAAGGAGACTCCACAGCCTGGTCCTCTGTCACCCTCACATAAAGGAGTTTTTCCTTATGTTCAGGTTAAGGCCCCTGTGTTCCAGTTTGTGACCATTGCCCCTTGTCCTGTCGCTGGGCACAACCCAGCAGAGTCTGATCCCATCCTCCTGTCCCACACCCTTGAGATATTGATGAGCATTAATGAGATCCCCCTCAGTCTCCTCCAGGCTGAACTGCCCCAGCTCTCCCAGCCTTTCCTCCTATGGGAGAGGCTCCAGTCCCCCCATCATCCCAGTGCCTCTACTCTGGACTCTCTCCAGTCGTTCCTTGTCCTTCTTGAACTGGGGAGCCCAAAATTGGATGTAGTTTTTCAGATGTGGCCTCACCAGAGTAGAAGGGGAGGAAAACTTCCCTTGGCCCCCCCTCTCCTTAATGCACATAAGAGCACAGCACAGTGACCCATGGGAGGGAGCTCCCCTTGGCACAGGGGGACAGTGACAAGTGACAGAGCAGGTCACATCGCCCTGACACCTCTTGTCCCCTCACACAACCCTGGACCCACAGCTGGTCCCCATTGGGGCTGACACTGCACCCAGTGCCCCAGGGCTCTGCCCTCTCTGTCCCACTCTGTCCCCTCCAGCTCCACAGCAGCTCCAAAGTGCTTGGGGACAGTGACAAACACCCAGGGACAGTGACAAATACCCTGGTACAGTGACAAACACATCCCTGGATGTTATCAAGGGTGACTTCAAAGCCTGGCAGCCTGCAGCTAAATCTTCCCAGGCAGCTTCACAACCGATAACAGCCACAAAACAGCAGCAACCAAGGCAAAGCCATCGATCATGCCATCCCTCCGCTTTCCTGGCCTTCATCACAGGCCAGCCTTGGCCAGGGAGAGCTGTACCAGTCCCACAGCATCCACCAGTTTGCCCCTGCCAACTCATTCCCAGAATGAATGGCACCAGAGCCCGTGGGTGTGGGGCCAGGAGGGGCAGAGGTTGGGTAATTTTTGGACCCACGGAGGGAGCATGGGTTCACCATCAGCATGGAGACGACTGGATATGCTTTGTGGGTCGTGTTTGCAAACCAATGGCCATGTATTTGCACCAGGAGTGATCCTGCACCAGGGCATTTTGGGGGTGCCCATAAACCTGACTTGGACCCACAGTGCTTGTCCCCAGCTCGAAAAGCTTTGGGGTATCAGGGAAATCCGCTTTGCTGGGCTGAGGTTCCCTTAACCATGAAAGCACCACAATCTTCCTCACCATACTGGGACAACTGAGGCTGGACTGGCAGCTCCCACCCCAGATGGGGAGAAGATGCAGAAACCCTGCAAGAAACCTCACATCTTGGAAAAAACACCCTCCAAAGGGCCACACGTGCTTCTTTTCCCCTCCATCCCTACTCCCCAGGGGACACCAGGCTGGTCACCAGCCCCTGGAAGGGTGACAGTGCCATGCCTGGGGACCTGTCCCACCCTGGCCTGGCTGCAGCATCATCTCACCCTCACCCTGGGGGCTTTCTCCTTCAGTTCACAGCTCCTACAAGACCCAAGTGGTATCTCATAGGTGACACTGCACAGATAACCCATCAGCGCAGTCAAATAATAACACAACGGGACAGCCAACCCTCAGCACGGGTTGCCGGTCTCTACCAGGACGGGCGATGCAGGATGGATCTCCCAGAGCCATCCCCAGCTCTCCCTTTTTTGGACAAACACCCACCTTTTTGACCCATTTCCGCTCACAATCCCAAACCTCCTCACAGCAGCGGCTTCAGCACAGTCCACCCCCAACCACGGCACCGAGGTCCTGACCCATCACAGGAGGGAAGCAAAGCATCGGCTGCAGGAAACCTCACCTTCCCTTGCCCTCACCTTGGTGCTTTTTCACCCCTGAAGAAAGTTCCCACTTTGCGAGGCACCGTTCCTATTAGAAAAGCTATTTTCGGCTGTCGGCTGCATCCGTTGCCAAGCAACCACGGCGGCTCCACATCTTTCCTGGATCCGGCTCCTCCGGAGAAGCCGTTTGAATTATTCTTTCAAGCTTGGCCCAGCAATGTTTAATTTCCTAACGAGAGCTCATTCACGTAAACCGCTCATGACTCCATCGTGGCAATTACCGGCACGTGGCTGCCCAAGGCTGGAGCATCCTTGGCCAGGATGGGGACAGGCACGGAGCAAGGGGGAAACGGCCTCATCCAGCAGCCAGGAAACCACTGAGGGTTTCCATCGATTCTGGATCAGGCTCTGTAGAGATCAGCACAGGGTGAATCACCCCCAGGTTGTTCACTGCTCCCTGTCTGCTCAGCGGCTGCTCAAGCTCCTTCTGAGCAAGGGTGACTCAGACCTTCAGGAGGACTCGGCCTCGGGGACTGAAGTCTCTCTTTGTATTAAAGATGGAGCCTCAAAGACCCAGGATCTGCTGGCCAAGCCCCCAGAGCTCAGTGCCCCATGGTGAGGGCACCCAAATTGCTCTCCTGGGACAGCTCAACCCCCTGAAGCAAAGCCTGGGAGACGCCCAGCTCCAGGAAGGGGGTGCTGAGCCAGGCCAGCGCGATGGGGTCAGGACAGACCCCACAGCATCTCCACCTCTCCCCTCCTTGGTTTAGGTCCCCCCCAGTGTCATCCTTAGGAGCTGAGAGGCAGCAGGACCCTGGTCCTGAAAAAGCAGGGATCTTCCAGCACCTTCAAAGGCCCTCAGCTTCTTAGAGGACACTCAAGACAGTGACATTCCCAAAGGACTTGAGGACATTCCCAAAGGATTTGGGGATCAAAAGGGGTGCGTAGCTGCTCTGCTGGGGCAAGGGCTCTCCAGGCACTGGGGTGAGACGCCAGAGGAGGCGAGGAGGAAGGAGCAGAGGTACAAGCCTTCCTCCCCATGGGAGATGCACCCAAATTGAACTAGAGCAGGGGGAAACCATGGTAGAGGCCCAAATCTTGATCCTGGTGTGTCTTTGTCACGATGTCCCCCTGGCTGCCATGGGGAGGTTCCTGCTGCCAAATGGTGACAGTGGCATTGACCTGAAGGAGAGGGGACCATTCCCATCAGTGATGCCATCAGCATTCACAACGTTTGCTATCCACGTCCTTACTGGTACCATGAGAGGAGTCCAGTCAGAACCAGCACAAAGCCACTGACCCCCACAGCACAGGGACCCAGGGAACAGGGGAGGCTCAATGAGCCCCTTCCTATTAATTTCCACAGCATTTTGCATCAACCCCAAGGTCTGCACTCCTCAAATGGCAAAGCCCAGCCCAAATCCACCCGAGCAAAGTATTTCCACCCATTTCTTGGATTGAAAAGGGAATTTAATCAAAAATTCATCTGCCAAAAATCATAACCACCCTGTGAGAAAGACGAGACAAATCAGCTGACAACCAGGAGCTTTCCGGGCTGGAGAGAGATAGAAAACCCCTGTCACTGACAGATGGAGATGCAGCTTGTTTACTTAGCCCTCATGACCTTAATTTTCTTAAATGTGCATTTTTTTCTTTCTCTTTGGAAGACAGATTAGGGTCTTTCAGGGCCCACAGCTTCCAGTAACCTCACTTGCGCTGCTCAACCAGGGATGCCTTTTGCCCAGGTCAAACCCACGTTGATGCCTTCCACACGGGTGCCTGGAGATGGACCACGGCTTTTCCCCATGGCAGGACCAGGGAAAGGACCAGTTTGTGCTGGGGGTGGTGCTGGTGATGACTTGAAAGCTGTCACAGGGCTTTATGAAGGGAAGGCACTGGGGACAGCACCACCAGGTTGTAACACCTCCTGCATCTCCCACTGCTCGGTGTCCTGAGGCATCTCCTGGAATGAGATCCCCATTTTGGTGGTCCCCAGTGGGTACTTTCATGTCCGACCGTTTGCAGGACCTCAACCCTAATGCAAAGCCCCAATTCTGGGTCCGCTTGCTGAGCCCAGGGCTCCTCCTTGCACCAAGTGACAATGCCCCATGTCCCCTCTGCACAGAGGTGGCCTTGGCCACTCCTTCCCTTGGCTCAGGAGCCACCACAGGTCAAACCAGCAATGGCACAAGGTGGATTCACCCCATGCAGGGAAGGGGCAGAGATGGAGAAGCTCCTGCTTTGCTACACCTAAAGCCTCCCATTGATCCCAGCTGGATACAGGAATGACCACTGGGGAAAAGCCACTGTTTGAGATGATCGAAGGCCACTGGGAGCTGCAAGCACCGCGTCCCCAGCCCTGCCAGTGGTTCAGTGAAGGAGAGATGCTCCGAGCCACATGTCCTGGCTCAGCCCATCCTTGTTTTCTCAGGAAAGCATCTGGGGAGCAATAAAGCGGCTGGGAACACATTCACAGAGCTTTCAGCTGGGCCCAGGGGTGCAGAGACAGGCAGGGAGGGGATGAGGGTTTACAGCAGCCTCTGAGAGCAGCCACCAGCAGCAAACATGCTCTGGGTCCACAGGATGGGTATGAGGTGGGGTTTTCTCCTCTCCTATGTCCAAATTCTACACTTATGTACCTTGTGGGTCCATGAAGGGGAAACTGAGGCAGGAAAAAACATGGGCTAGGATTTGGTGAATTCAAAATGAACATTTAAACCATGGGGACTCTCTGCTGGTCCCTTCCTACTCCACCACCTCTCCCCCTTCAGCTGC